GATTGTATCCCTCAGACAACACCTCAAGGATGCGAAGATACTAAGTGCTTGCAAAACTATGAGAGTATCCCGAAACACCAATGGCACCAGTCACAAACACTTGAAAAGGCAAGTCAATTGTCCACCTGAGAAAACAAAACAAGGGAAAAGACATGTTACCGGTATGGTGCATCCTTCATCATTGTTGTCACGGATTCCTTAAACTGGTGAATTAGACAGGATGTTTAGGATTCAGGATTCCTTAAACGAATTCCTATAAAACTTTGGAAAGTTTATCGAGCTCTTGAATGTTGCAAACATGATGAAACAACCCTTGAGCAAGAGCTGTATGACGCTCTTTGAAATATATGTAGAAAGACAATATTAGATTGAACTTCAAAAGTAGTGAAGTATAAACCGTAAATGTTAGACTTACTAAAATACTGTTCGACATAAAATTAAGTTGAAGCCATAATTTTATCAGACATTCTCGTATACAGTGTTTGGTCACTCTGAATCTTAAGCATACATCTAAATTTAGAGCTAACGATGTTGACGCAGCATATTTATATTTTTGTTAGGGTGAGTAAATCAGTGGATGGTAATTGAACGACAACAGATCATCAATATACTTGAAGGTTAACTTTACCTTTTCAGCCAAATTTAACTTGTTGTTTCTTTGTCAAATCCAGCAGAAATTCTGATGCTTATGCATAAAGAAAGGGGTGCCCAGAAGGGAACCACAGCTTGGGACACATGTAGTATTATTGAAATTTCGTATACCTTTATACGTGTACTATAAATGACAAGTACCAGAAAATGTAATTTATATGTGAGTGAGTGAGTATGGTTTTAACTTTTACGCCACTTTTAGCAATATTTCAGCAATATCACGGCGGAAGTCACCAGAAATAAACTTGTTTGTAACCAAAATGTAAGCACAGATATTGAATTAAATGTAATATTGTAAATTCACATACATAGTTTCTGAATCGCCATTTGCATCAACTAATTATATATGCATAAAGATGCGAAATATAATAATATTATCTTACCACAATGGATATATAGTGTTTACATTTATTATAAATGCACACGTTTGAAGAAGCAATTTTCAACTATTGTTTTTGCAATTTGATTGGCAGAATATTGATGTGTATTCAAGTATAATCACAAAGCTAAACACATTACTGCTCTATTTCTGCTCTATAATCAACAATTGTTTTATCTTTGCTACATATTGTAATCACAGGATGATACACTGTGTATTTCTGTAATAAATGTAGGAACTAAAGTGACAACTTCATAATTTATACGATTATCCTGATAATCCCATGCAAAAGTGTTTTTTCATTTATCAATCTGAGTCAAAAGTCATAAGAAAAAAATGAACAAGTATATGCCAAATATTGATTTTGTGTGATGAAATATCATTTTTCAGTGTTTTCATTTGTTAAAATCGATGCCGAACAGTTGCGCGTCTTGTTCAGTTCAGACGCACGATCAACCAAGACGGCCAATCTACGTTTTTTTAATCTGAGAAATGCATGTCCATGTTAAATCAGTCATTTTAAGTTGTTTCTGAAAAGCGTGAAATTCTGTTTTGATATATAATCATATCACCTGCCACTGATATAATGATATAACGCTAGACATGGCGTCAACGACATAAGCATGTCTGTCTCTGATATAATGATATAACGCTAGACATGGCGTCCACGACATAAACATGTCTGTACTTCAATACATTTGATTACAAGACAAATTCCCCATTATTATTCTGACAACAGAAGTTCAAAACATCTCACACATTCAGGAGAATGAGTGGATCTAATTACTAATGTCAGCCTTACAGCTAGGACCATTTGTGTCTCCATTACTTAAATTTTATAGTATTACGATTTATAGTATCTTTTCTTTGTGTGTACCTTTCAGTCGTCTTTGATGTAGAAGTGAAAAATCGATTTCCATCGTTTGTGAGCACTTATATTTCAGATCAAATATGTAATACTCTCCGTGGGCATTTTGAGGTCCATTCGAAATATCATTTTGTCGTCCAGATAGAAGGCAGGATTTGGCTTGCATTGCGGCTTCAAATAGAACAATACTTTTCAGTAGTTCCGGAATAACGAAATATTGAAACCAAATATTATGCATGTATGTGTAGCCATATGTCTCTCCCAGAAGACACATATATCCTTCTAGTTCAATTTGGGCTAATTAAATAGCTGTCGCACTCCTTCTGAAAATCAGTAACAACAATATTAGATTGAACATAAAGCTAGTGAGGTATAGACACTCAAGGTTAGACTTACTGAAACACTGCCCCCCAAAAAACAACACCCCCAAAAAAAAACAAAAAAAAGAACAAAAAACCCCCCAAAAACCCCAAAACAACCTCGGTTGTAAGTGGCCCACACTCAGTGGATGTGGGATGTCAGTGAATGATAGTGCTGATAGTGTGAGCTACAACCAATACAATTGGGGATATGTTGACCCGCAGTCAACAAGGCCGATCTACCCTGTCGCCATTTATTTTCTCGGGACCTCTTCCGCCCGGAATGGGATTTGGTGAGGTATAGTGATGGGTGTGTGTGCGCGTGCGTGTGTGTGTGTGTTTGTGTGTGTGTTTGTTGTGCTGTGCGCGCGGGTGTGTGTGTCTCTGAATTTCCCAACTGACTATCGTTCATATATTTACAAAGGTAATTTGAGAAATACCAGTTGAAGGTATGATTGTTATTTTTTCATTACATTAATGATAACGGTCTCCATTCAGCAAAGTCACTTTTGTTTACAGATTCAAAATTCCATGATGACACATGCATCACACGTTAATTGATGCTAATATGTAGCTTCAATACCGAAATGATGACAAGACAGATGACAGCTGATAATTGAATAAGAAGTACTGGGGCAAATGATTTGCAAAGTGTGAAGGCTGGATGCATTTTAGCTAAAAACTGCAATGTCCGGTTTTTTTGCATCTTGTAATCTCCATCAAATATAGAAATCACTGTTCGTTTAGGCACGTGTTTAGGGAAAAGGAGACATTCCACAGACATGTCAAAATGATATGAATAGAACTGTTTCCAAAAAACGGGTGCAACAAGGTCCAGATTTTACAACTTTGTATACATAATAATTGAGATGATATTTGTGAGGATTTTACTATAAGGGGTTCCTTTGATCAAGGTCATGATGTGAAGTACTTCTGTACTCACAGACACTTACACTTGTATGTAATAACTGTACTGACCAGGAGACAGTGCTGATTCCGGGTGAAATGGGAAATTGTGAATGGCCTATATATGGCCTACATATATCTCTGAAGTAAATTTTAAGATAATCTTGTTCTGAGTTATAAAACTGGAATAGCCAAACCGACTATTTTGTCTTGTACCCAAACCTGCATCATTCTTGGATATGATTTGACACACGTGATTCCTCCTGCTAGCGATGAATGCTTTGTGGAAGCTCACAACCATCAATTTTTGAGTTTCTTCATACAGACGTTTTCATAATGGACATTAAACTGGCTTATCAACCACAGACCTGGGTTCGAATTCCCACGTGGGTAAAATGTGTGTCTACGATCAATCGTAGACAACATCATAGACATCTCTGGATGTGAAAGCCAAGTTCATGAGCATACTATATAACGCTGCAATGTGATATGAAATTGAGAATAGCAAGAAGATATATGTGAAAGAGACATTCTATAAGATGAAATGATACAGAAAGCTGTGAAACGCGGGACATTTTATGTGGATGAAATGTACACATTGTTAAAGTTTCAAATGTAACATATGTTATATTTGGGATTACACATAACATATGTTTATATGTGTAACATGTGTTACATTTGACCACTTTCTAAAATGGTATTGTCTATTTGATAGCTTTCGGCCGTGGGAGCCGTGCTAATTAACACTTATCAGAGGGGTACACAAAGTCCGCAGTCTAGACTACCAGTTGTCCGACTTCCATTTTTGTGGAAGCCGCGGTGGATGAGTGGTCTAGGCGTCTGACATTGTGTACTGGTGATTAGGTGCCTGACTCTGAGGGTTCGAATCCCGGATGGGACTCAACCCCCCAAAAGTACTAGAATCTGTACTTTACTAAGAAAGTGCCATCCCAAATATAACATATGTTACATTTGACCACTTTCTAAAATGGCATTGTGTAATCATAGCTTTCGGCCGTGGGAGCCGTGCCAATTAACACTTATCAGAGGGTACACAAAGTCCGCAGTCTAGACAACTAGTTGTCCGACTTCCATTTTTGTGGAAGACGCGGTGGCAAGGCGGTCTAGGCGTCTGACTTTTGTGTGCTGGCGATTAGGTGCCTGACTCTGAGGGTGTGGGTTCGAATTCCGGATGGGACTCAACCTCAAAAATGTACTAGAATCTATACTTTACTAAGAAAGTGTAATCCCAAATATAACATATGTTAAATAAGTGAAAGTGAGAGCATTTGAGAAAAAGGAAAATATACGTGGAAGAGAAACCAGATTACAGCTTAAGACAACCTACATGTATGCCATATTTCTTAAGCCACTTTCTGAGTAACGGCGTCTAAGTGTCTTTTCAGCTCCCGTTTAATCTCCGACACGACCTTATTACGTCGGCTTCCAACATACGGACGTCTTGGGGAACAAACTGCCACGTGTAGTTAGCCAAAGAAAAAATAGTCACGCTATTGCGTGTCCCTTAATTGATGCATCAAACAACCACTACAGATTGGAATCCTATATAATTCATGTGAATCTGGATTTATTGCTTTGGACTGTAAAACCGATATGTGTAAAGTAACCACATTATTGAAGTAAATTTAAAGTAACGCCCATCAGTAGACGAATGATCTAAAGTGAATCTCTAGAAATGTAATCAATAAGATATTCAGTCAATCACAAATTCTGCCCTGTAACCCACGTCTCTTCTATATGTTGTAATCCGCCTGTTACTGTTACAGTCTGAGCGACATGTGTAGCTTTCTGCAGACATGTCAAAAGTATCAGTTGTGACAGAAGCCAGAATGTCTCTGTCAATGAAGCCTCACACCCCTCCACACAACGTCCTCCACTGCTAGTGGACTGTGCCGTGTGCACATTCATAACGGCAACACAGATCACCGCGGCTGTAGTCGCCGTCGCTACTGGAGGTGTGTGACGGAGCTTTATGGCGGAGTATACCTTGGATTGGCGCTGCCTGTGATTACCCTGCGGTTAATAAGGTGAGGGACTACTTGATATATCAACAGCTGTTTACCTAATCCTCTCTTGGTGTCTATATATCGCCACAAGTCAGTGAAATAGCATAATGACAAACATCTGAAGCGCATTGTTCTTGTGGGCCATCCTACAAAAAGAGAAAAGAAATATCAAATAATATTCAAAAGATTACTCTTAATACCGTTAATTACACCGTTAACATCTGAGCTGACAATATATACTTTCCTCGCACACACATATATTATTCCTCGTTCATATTGTTTCGATAGAACGAAGGACACATTTGTAGAACAGCGAAAATATATTTTACTGTAAGAAAAAAAGCGTTTGAAGAACCAAACTGAAACAGCGTGTAAATGTTTTAATTCATTATCATTCCGAAGACGTTTTAACTATGAAAACGATTTGTAATATTGCTAACTTTTAAAAAGGTCGATGTTTCAAGTTAGCTCTTGCATGCTAAGACTGCAGATAAAAAATGTCGAGTAAGCATTAAGTTGATACTATGTGATCACCTGGGGAGTCACATATTTGCTACAAATACTTTTGAAAATGATCGCATGTGAAAAAAAGATTCTTATCGAAAAAATGCAAATACATATTTAATTTTATTTATTTTTTTACTGTGAAAAGGACGCAGTTGCCAATAATCCTCCAGACAACACGACAAGAAGGCCGCATTAGATTTGCCATACTTTGTGTCTGGCTACAACATGCTTGCCCTGAAATATCCTCTGCTCTTAAAGCTATATGAACAATCCGACTGAAACGGCGTATGTCTTATTTGTTTTGAACTTAATTCCCAAGGGCTGCATTGCAGTTGTTGAGTAATTAAATTGTCAGTTCGGTATGAACTTATGTCGTTTGAACTTGTTTGAAAATGTCATAACTGTGTCAGGCGAAGTAGAAGTTGACTGTACATGTTATTCACGTCCAGTGAATGCGTCATATTGTTTGAACTTGTGTAGTTGACTGAACGAGTCGTTATTGTTTGAACTTGTGTAGTTGACTGAACGAGTCGTTATTGTTTGAACTTGTGTAGTTGACTGAACGAGTCATTATTGTTTGAACTTGTGTTGTTGACTGAACGAGTCATTATTGTTTGAACTTGTGTAGTTGACTGAACGAGTCGTTATTGTTTGAACTTGTGTAGTTGACGGAACGATTATGGCTCGTGTTGCTGTAGTTGTTGACTGAACGAGTCATTATTGTTTGAACTCGTGTAGTTGACTGAAGAACGATTATGTGTTGATTGCTGTAGTTGGTTGAACTGAACGAGTCATTATTGTTTGAACTTGTGTAGTTGACGGAACGAGTCAGTTGGCATGATTGCTCGTAGTTGTTGACTGAACGAGTCAGTGTGTTATTGATTGAACTTGTGTTGTTGACTGAACGAGTCGTTGTTGTTTGAACTTGTGTAGTTGACTGAACGAGTCATTATTGTTTGAACTGCTGTGTTGTTGACTGAACGATCAGTGTGGTGTGACTGTGTAGTTGCTGACTGAACGAGTCATTGTGGTATGAACTGATTGCTGTAGTTGCTGACTGAACGAGTCAGTATGATTGTTGTAGTTGAACGAGCTGTGATTGCTGTAGTTGTTGACTGAACGAGTCAGTATGCTATGATTGCTGTAGTTGCTGACTGAACGAGTCAGTGTGGTATAATTGCTGTAGTTGCTGACTGAACGAGTCAGTGTGGATATGATTGCTGTAGTTGTGACTGAACGAGTGTGTTGTATGATTGCTGTAGTTGTTGACTGAACGAGTCAGTGTGGTGTGATTGCTGTAGTTGCTGACTGAACGAGTCAGTGTGGTGTGATTGCTGTAGTTGTTGACTGAACGAGTCAGTGTGGTGTGATTGCTGTAGTTGCTGACTGAACGAGTCAGTGTGGTATGATTGCTGTAGTTGCTGACTGAACGAGTCAGTGTGGTATGATTGCTGTAGTTGCTGACTGAACGAGTCAGTGTGGTATGATTGCTGTAGTTGTTGACTGAACGAGTCAGTGTGGTATGATTGCTGTATGACTGAACGAGTCAGTGTGGTATGATTGCTGTAGTTGCTGACTGAACGAGTCAGTGTGGTGTGATTGCTGTAGTTGCTGACTGAACGAGTCAGTGTGGTATGATTGCTGTAGTTGCTGACTGAACGAACAGTGTGGATGATTGCTGTAGTTGTGTGAACGAGTCAGTGTGGTATGATTGCTGTAGTTGCTGACTGAACGATGATTGCTGTAGTTGCTGACTGAACGAGTCAGTGTGATATGATTGCTGTAGTTGCTGACTGAACGAATCAGTGTGATATGATTGCTGTAGTTGCTGACTGAACGAATCAGTGTGATATGATTGCTGTAGTTGTTGACTGAACGAGTCAGTGTGGTATGATTGCTGTAGTTGCTGACTGAACGAGTCAGTGTGGTGTGATTGCTGTAGTTGCTGACTGAACGAATCAGTGTGATATGACTGCTGTAGTTGTTGACTGAACGAGTCAGTGTGGTGTGATTGCTGTAGTTGACTGAACGAGTCCCATCCGGGATTCGAACCCACATCCTCAGAGTCAGGCATCTTATCGCCAGCACACAAAGTCAGACGCCTAGACCGCTCAGCCACCATAAAATGGAAGTCGGACAACTGGTTGTCTAGACTGCGGACTTCGTGTACCCCTCTGATAAGCGTTAATTGGCACGGATCCCCACGGCCGAAAGCTGCCGAAAGTGGTCAAATGTAACATATGTTATATTTGGGAAAACACTTTCTCAGTAAAGTATAGATCGTAGTACGTTTTTTTTTTTTTTTTTTTACAGAAAGTCCGCAGTCTAGACTACACGGTTGTCCGACTTCCATTTTGGTCCAGCTGAGCGGCATCTAGGCGTGCCTGAGTCCACGGCGCTTAGTATGACGGCGGGAGGAAGGATCTCGGGAGGGGTGCGGTTTGACTTTGGGCAGGTGCGGGTATGCTGGGCGGATGTCGGAAGCGCAAAAAAACGCATGTTTTGCACTTATTTGGGCCCGTTTTGGGGTATTTCGACCCGCCAGGGGGTGGCCTAGGGTTAGAGCTAGGGTTACGGGGGTGAGCTAGGGTTAGGTTTATTTCGACCCTTTTGGTCGATTTGGGTGCGGTTTTCGTTTGGACGTGTTGGGAGGTTGTGTGCGGAGGTGGTAAGCGCAAAAAACCGCATGTTTGGCACTTATTTGTGCCCGTTTTAGCCTAACCCTACACAGGGGAGAGAAAACCGTGGCGACACGCTTCCATTCCAAGTTGCAGACACAGGGGAGAAAAATTAATGGACGCTTCCACCGCAGAGTAAAGAGAGAGTTACATCCATTCCAAGTTTCAAACCGTGGCGAACGCTTCCATTCAAGTTGCAGACATGCTTGCGACACGCTGTCTGTTGACGTGGCGAGTTAATACCAAGTTGCAGACACTACCAAACATGACACGCTTTGCAAGTTGAGACAGGGGAGGGAAAACCGTGGCGACACGCTTCCATTCAAAGTTGCAGGTTTCTCAATAATGATTGTTTATAGCAAGACGTCTGTTCAGTTAAACTTAATTTCATGGCCAGCTAACAAGCTGCACAGTTGTGAGTTACACCTCTCACCTCGTTATTCCTGACAGCTAGTTGTCCCAACGTGGAGTCAGATTTATACCAATCCATGGATTGAGAGACCATTTACTTGTCTGGATAAATTTACAAACGTTACCACAAATAGTTTTCCAATTACGGTTGATGTTTTCATACAGTCATTCTGGATGGGACTTGATTGGAAAATAGTTGAAAAGTATTTAAGGACGAAATAGAAACCGAACTGGAGTTTGAATGGACCACGTCATATATTCAGGGATTGGCCTTGCGCGCGTGCGTGTATGTCTGCGTGCGTGCGTGCATGTGCTTGCGTGCCTGTATATGTGCCTGAATGTCTGTGTGTGTCGGGGCAGGATCTACCTGATATTATTAGTGAAGTGATTCATAATTAACCATGTTGAACGGTGCAATGGTCTATGATTATAAGGGAAACCTGAAATCAATACAGAAGTATTCTAGGTATATTCAAAAGTGGCTAAATCTATGTCCAGCTGAATCCGCTTTTGAATATTCACAACATTTCAATCCAGACATTTTTCTTTCGATACGACCTAAAACTGCAGTAATTAACTTCCCCGCTATTTGCTACCAGTGTGTTTAGGCTGATTGACAAGAATATTGAGCAGCTAGCTGAGGCTAGAGGCCTAACAAACCAAAGTAGAGCATCGTCTTTACTAGCTCTTGATCCTTGGTAGGTCATGGTGAACCTAACATGCCCAGCCCCGTAACGTTGATTCTCGAGAAGTCTGCTTAACATTTATCCAAGGCCCATAACGAAAGTGAGGTAGCTAAGACTTGATGAGTACAAACTACTATGGTCTGCTATTTTCAGAAAGAAATCCGAATTAGAAATAATGGAGACAAGACCCTTTCGATAGCCACAAGCAATCTGTACTAAAAGCAATGTATAGCGAGAAGATGCATGTATCCAGCTGATTCGGTGGCACTTGCAACAAACACATGCAACGGCTAGTCAATTGTGGAGTTGTAAAACACGGGGACATATGGTAAAAGCATAAAAAGATAATTGCATTCGACTATATTTCTGTCACAGATGCGTCAAATTGGAAATGTGTCATGTATACCATAAAATATGTGGAAATATTACTCTTTCACTGAATAACTGTATCGTATAAAACAGCTCACGAGGCGCTGTATTATTGACAAGGGATAATAGACAGTCATCATATAAATTACATGCAGTGAGTAACATAAGAGTAGAAAGTAATTACGGGTTATATGCAGCGAGTAAATGAACGCTCCGAGCTATAATTCAAGGGGAAAGAGCATCCGTAATTACTCGTTGCAAGTATTTTCATAGGCAGTTAGTTGATTTTGTAGAAAAGCCATAGGCTTGCATGCTAAAATAATTGACAACATTGTACAATGTCGAAAGGCAAATTACCAAGATATGTTTC